GGCGGCTGGTATTTGTAAACATTTTGATTGATTTAGGTACCATTTTTCCGCAAGCTGCCTACATCGACATGAGTGTAGCCGTATCAATCTCGTATCGCTGTCCGTACAGTTGCATCTGGTGAGGTCTTATCTATACTCACCATTGAAATTTCGCAGCTCCTACTTTCGTTTGCTCCGCTTTCTCCTGGGCCATTCCGATATACTAACTTGCAGCCTTATCGAAACTCATTTGGCACCTTAGGCTGAATGGAGTCGCATTTACTCTATCGAACGAATTTACATACGTGGAAATCATTTGGACAAGGCAGCGTGTCTCTAACTACTGCAGCGCTACCCTATACACCGAATAAAGTACTAGAAATCGTCTTTAATGTCCTTCCTGCACATCTTTATGGTAAACTACAAGCGGGCTTAATGCCCTGAGTAAATGGAAGGATTCGACATTATAGTCATTCTAAAACATTGGACATTTGCAAACTTGATGTACCCGGAATACTCTATACCGATGTGGGCTTTTTACAATGGCTTCAACGCAAGGTCTCGTCTCGAGGAGGGACTGGGAGGAAGATTCATTCCTTAAAATAAGTAGTGTAAACTCACAAGAGTTGTCTCTAAACTGAGCATTCGCCAACAGTACTTTTGCAGCGTATTTTAAGCGGAACTTACAGCTGTGAAAGAAGCTGTAGTTCCTTCCTGATTCTGAAAGGCAGTAACTATATATATTTGCTCATAGCCAAGTCGCAATTAGATTTCTAGAAAGCTCTGCAATGTCGTCAAAAATTGTTATAGGATTCCCCGAACGAACTGGAAACTACTACAAAATACTAAACGAAGGTCAGGCGGCGAGTCATTGCTTATCGACCGTAAATTTTTATCTTAACGGAGATACACCGCGACATCGCTTAAGGCAAAATTCGTCGACGTTCGATAACAGAACCCAAGCTCTCTTACTGTTGAAGTGCTTCCTACTGTGATTAGTTAAACGAATCCTTACACAACGTGTACCAGGAGAATGGGAGAACCTGGTGGCGTCTCCATCAGTGCGTTTTCGACTGTCTCCTAAGCTACATAATACAAACTAACTAGTTCTATATTTAGGCAAAATAACCATTGAGCCAAGGTATGCATTGCTAGCTTTTTATTGCCTAGGTTTTCTACCATCAGAGATCTGGATGAGGGCAGCCAACCCAATCCAGCTTATCATCTAAAAAAAAGCAATTTCAATTCATGATTTAACGCTATCTAGCTCTGAGCTTGGTGCTGTCTCCCTTTCAGAAAAACTTATATAATTTTTAGCACGAATCGTAATGATATCTTAACTTTCCAGAAATTGTTCCTTCTGTACATTAGCTGCTCGGCATACTAGTAGACTCTCTGCCTAAGAAGCTCTCATTAAGAAAACTTCAGCGATTTGCAGTCATAAAACTGACAATATTATTGACTTATTACCCATAATCGTTTGGCAAGCAATATTTAAAACCATTTAATTGCCTATTATTGGGCGCGCACTGCAACCGCACAGTGCGGCATTAGGCACATAAAAACGAACTGGCACTAAATGGACGATAGTCATCGAAATAAATCGTTCAAGCCGGAAAATTCTTAACAAAAAAAAAAATGAAGTAATAAAGTGGCCAACAACTACATAGGCGGAGAGCCAATTGAGGCGACAGAATTTGTGACGCCAACTTCAACTTCAACTCGGAAAAAAAATGCTTTATTAATGGCAAATTAAAAGTAATAAAAAACAGATGTGCTTAACGTGGCACATTTTACACGTTCGAAGCCTTGCAAAGCGGCGCGCATTCAGTCAAGCGGATTTCTTAAATTCGTATAATGAAGCACACCACCTTGGTTGCATACTTTTTGGCGTTGCACACGCCTTTTTCGTTATTTCAGACATTTTTTTTTAGAGGTATGAAATTATAATAATGGCTTTTTTGGTAGCAGCTTAGCGCTGGGGCGCAGGTAACGTCGGCTCGCCTGCTGGAGCGTCGCAATATAAAGATACATAGATACAGTGATTTTGTGGCAGTCGGAAGAGTCACAAGCGACATACAAGTTGGCATAAGCAGCAGCAGCAGTAACTGGGTGGGGGTGTCTGTAGGTGTATGGCGCAGCCGATGGCAGAAAGTTCGCTTTTTCGAAAGTTTTGCATTGCACAAAATGTTGCGCTTAATGCAGTTTA